GCCTGGGGAAGGAGCCGGCTGAAGGCTCTCCACCTCCCCGCGCGGCTGACCACACCTCCCCGCGCAGGCCGTGCAGGCAGCGGGAGAAGCAGGAAATGCCGCACCAGGTGAGGCCGGGGAGGCAGCTGGGCGAGCCGGCGCTTCTCTTCAGAGCTTTCGGCTAAGAGGGCTTGGGCTCCAAAAGGCTATTGGACCTGGGCTCATCCTGATCCAGGGGAGGGAGGACTGGATGTGGGGGACCCTCTGCACAGCGGGGAGGACTCCTAGAGGCAAGAACCCCCCAGACCTCAGGAGCCCGACGCGCAGGACCAGGGGCAGCTGGCCGGCCACGGCTGGTAGCTCTGGAAGCTGCCTTCCGTGGAGCTGAGCCGGCACCAGGACACAGGTGGCCTGGACCCATGGCCTCTGGTCACCTGGGGGCGCCGGGTGAATCCGGTCAGAGGCAGGAGACCAGAGTGCGAAGAGAGTTGTCAGGGCTTTGAGCAGGGCAGGGCACCTGAGCTGGACAAGTCTGTTTCCTGCAAACTTCCCACAGGTCCCTCTGGGACCTCAGCTCCCTGTCCCTGTGGGGATCCGGTTCCCATCCGCCTCTCCTCTCTTCTCCCCTCTCCCCTCCCCGGGAGGAGCTGGGCAGGGCTGTCCCAGGCACCAGGCCCGTGAGCTCCTGCAAACATCAGGGGGGGAGGACCGCCCGACCTCTGTGCTGAGCCCTTGCTGCCCGCACCTCGCCTTTTCCAGCTGCGGACGGCACCAGTCTCCTTTCAACAGGGATGGAGCTGTGGCTCTGGGGGGCTGACTCCGATCTGGGGGTTTCCTGGCAGTCAGTGCCGGGGCTGGGGCTCACAGCACCACTGCCCCCTGACGGCTTCCTTCCTTCCTCTCAGCACAGCCGGCTCCCGGGAGTCTTCGTCTGACCGCCAGGATGGAGCTGGGGCCGGCGCCCAAGACCTTCGCGCTGGAGCCCCGGTGTCTGGAAGATGGGGGCCCGGGGCCTGACACCCTCTCAGGTGAGGGGCTGGGGGACCTCTGACCTTCTAAACCAGGAGACGGTCCTCAGGCCCCCAGCCCCAGGCTGCTGGGCGGAGAGGGGCCTGGAGGGCGGCGGGCAGCGGGCAGCGTACTGTCTGGAAGGGCGCCCCCTGGTTATTAGGAATCATTTCCTAGAAGGATTATTATTTTTTGGTTTCATTTAATCGGTATCTTCCTGGGAAAGTGAACAGATAGCAAAATTTTATAAATCAAACCTCTGCTTCCCATTACGAAAATGAACATATGATGGTGAGGGCAGACTTGGGGATGGAGAAGGCCTCTTAGGTCTCTGCCAGCCCAGTAGGGGGCTCATAGTGAGGCCCTGCCTGGGGGCGCAGTGCAGGGGGTGACCCGGCCGGAGTGGGCCCTGGTCAGCAGGGCTTCCGCTCCGCTCGCTCCACGCCGGGCTGTGCGTCTGTCCTCTCCGCTCTCAGGCTCCCCAGAGAGGGTTTGTCTCCTCGATGGAGACACTCGGAGGTTAAGGAACTGCCGGTCCCCATGTGCACGTGGGGCTGGGGGTGAGTCCTTTCCCTTCCAAAACCCCAGCCTCAGACACTCCGGTCTTTAGGCTGTTTCAGGTGGAGCTGGTTGTAGCCTTGACATTTCCAAACTGGCTGTGAGTTTGCAAACTAGTTCCCCGCCCACAGGGCGAGGGACTCTTCAGGCATCTTCCATGTGCCAGGGGCTGTGCCAGGGCGCGTCCTGCTTCCCGCGGGAAGCTGGCAGGGTGGGCATCCTTAAGCCGTTTTACAGACAAGGGCGCTGCGCCTGCAGGAGGCTGGACAGCTGCTAACTCAGAGTCAGGGCGGAGGGGAGCCCTCGGGACTCAGGACTTCCCACTGGAACCTCATGTTTTAGCTGGAACTTTAGTTTCTTGTAGAAACCACTTGTGGTAGCACTTCCAGGCAGCTTTACAGAAATTCCTTCCTATTTACAGAGAAAGCAAGTTTCATTCGTTTCAGGTGTGACCCTAACTGAGGTCAGAGTGCAGCGTGGGCTTGGAATGGCTGGCTCACTGATTCCCACCGGTGATGACTAGGCACCAGGGTTTCCTGGGAAATGGTGGGGAGACCGGGCACCCATGTGGTGTCACTGCCAACCTTCAAGCATGGAGCCTATGGGGAGGGGGGGAGCAGCCCAGAGAAGGGGTCAGGGACTAGGGTCCAGAGTGACATGACTTTCAGTCTTGGAGATGCATTTTTAGAAATATATATTTTTATTGATTTCAGAGAGGAAGGGAGAGGGAGAGATAGAAACATCACTGATGAGAGAGAATCATTGATCGGCTGCCTCCTGCACACCCCCTACAGGGGATGGAGCCCGCAACTTGGGCATGTGCCCTTGACTGGAATCAAACCCAGGACCCCTCAGTCCGCAGGCTGACGCTCTATCCACTGAGCCAAACGGGCCAGGGCTTGGGTGCATTTTTAAGTCAACCCTCACCTCTGGGCATTTCAGTTTCTGCCATGCTGCCATTGTCACGGATCCAGTACTTTTGGGTCCTTCCTGAGGGTCTGGCCCAGAGAGCTGCCTCTAGATCAGTGGTTCTCAACCTTCCTAATGCCGCGACCCTTTAATACAGTTCCTCATGTTGTGGTGACCCCCAATTTCATTGTTACAAATTGAACATGATTAAAGCATAGCGATTAATCACAAAAACAATATGTAATTATATATGTTTTCCGATGGTCTTAGGCGACCCCTGTGAAAGGGTCGTTCGACCCCCAAAGGGGTCGCGACCCACAGGTTGAGAACCTCGGCTCTAGAGCTTTCTCTCCTGACTTCCTGCCATGTCCCCTCCAGGTGGCAGCGGTGGGAGTGAGAGCCAGGAGGAAGAGGCTCCGGAGAGGAGCAGCCCACCACGGCCAGTCATCTCAGCCCCAAAGCGGGTCAGCAAGAGCACCAAGGAGGCCCAGCCAGCACAGCAGGAGCTGCAACCACAGCAGTTACAACCGCAGCCAGAGCTGCAACAACAGCCGCGGCCGCAAAACCAGCCGTCGGGACGCCGATCAGCACTGCAGCCACCGCAGCAGCAGAATGGACAAGAACAGCTGCAGGAACGACAAGAAAAACACCAACCCCGGCAGCATCCGAGACCAAAGTCACAGCTGCCACTGGTGCAGCAGGTGCCGGAGCAGCACGTGGCAGAGCCACCGCAGGAACAGCCGCCGCCGCAGCGAGGACTCCAGGAAGAGCCCCGGTCTGTGCCACCTGAGCCCCTGAAGCCACAACTACAGCGGGTGCAACAGCAGGAAGAGTTACCAGCGCAGCAAGGACAAGAGCAGCAGCCGTTGGAGCAACAGCAGGAACGGTTAGGACAGCAGGCACAGCAGAAGCAAGGACAGTCACAGATACAGGCACAGCTACAGCAGCAGCTGTTGCAGCAGCAGCAGCAACAGTTACAGCAGCAGCAGTTGTTACAGCAACAGCAGCTGTTGCAGCAGCAGCAGGAACAGTTACAGCGGCAGCTGTTGCAACAGCAACAGTTACACCAGCACCTGCTGCAGCAACAACAGTTACAGCAGCAGATGTTGCAACAACAACAGTTGCAGCAGCAGCTGTTGCTGCAGCAGCAAGAACAGTTGCAACAGCAGCAGCTGCAGCGCCGTCCACTGGAGCCAGAGGAGGAGGAGGAGGTGGAGCTGGAGCTCATGCCAGTGGACATGGAGTCGGAGCAGGAACTGGAGCAGCAGCGGCAGGAGGTCCAGCGGCAGCAGGAGCTGGAGAGACAACAAGAACAGCGGCAGCTGCAGCTCAAACTGCAGGAGCAGCTGCGGCAGCTGGAGCAGCACCTGCAGCAGCAACAGCAGCTGGAGCAGCAGCAGGAGATGCAGCTGGAGCTGACCCCCGTGCAACCTGAGCTGCAGCTGGAACTGGTGCCCACTGCGGGGACAGGCCCGGCTTCAGGACCTGGCGCCTCGGGACCTGTCATGGTGGGGCCCCCGGGCTACGTGGTGCTGCAGGAGCTCATGGTGCTGCCGGCCGTGGGCCCGCTGCAGCCAGCTGTAGCCCTACCGCCACCAGCTGTAGCCCTACCGCCAC